GTCCCACAGGAAAATTGTATAAGTGTGGCAGGTAGTCACTGGATTGATTAAAGACTTAAACCAAGTATGAAGGTTGTGATGATATCGTTGATTTGAGAATAGATGCCTGGAGGGCACTCAATTTATTGGGTTGTGGAATGCGGAGGATTTCTCCTGTTGTGATAGTTGTTCTTGTGTGCTTTGAGAAAAGGGAAGTAAGTATGGACCTTTGAAGGGTCATTTTCCTAGTTTGGTACGATCAGGGTCGACTTGAGGTCGGCGGATGGATTTAAATGTAAATATGGGCTCTATATCAGGCCAGATGTGTTCATTTCAACACAGCGCTCCTTAATGGAGGAGTAGTCGGGGTGTTATTTTGTCATCAGCTATTTCATGTAATGACGTATTGCGCCGTGCGAGTTGTGAGACGGCTTGGTGAATTCCTTATGTTTTGAGGCTCCGCGTAGAGATGATGTTATATGAGCAGGATGGCTTTTGAGATTTCAAATCGTATATTGCACCTCAGTTGTGCTTGATTTTGTGGCTTCTGGCGCTATATGTCTCCCCAGGGATAGAATTATGCACTTACTGTGCTTGTGACCAATATTCAGTATATTATGAAAATGAGAAATCTAGCTCGGTGAGTATCTCCTTATGCGAGTTTTATGGGTGGATCGGGTGGCACGCCGCCATGGTTATGTTGTTCGAGTCGGGTTGCGCGCTGCAACAGAGTGAAGCTGAGTACAGTTCCCCATATCTGTTTTTATGTGTTTTGTTTCCTATTTTATGAGGAAATATTATATTAGTTGTGTGTCCGCGTCGCATGTATGAATCGCGAGCAGGATGTTTGTTTAATTAAGTCGACCGCGTCGCATGTATGATTCGCGAGCGGTGTAGTTGAATTTCCTTCTTAAAGTTTGCTTTCCTTTATATCGCGTTCGATATGGTAGCCTATTGGCACATTGTAGCATCACATGGGACTTTTGGTCATGTCGGGGTGGCTGCCCGAGCAGTTCGTACTGGGTGAGACGAGCTCATTGAATTCGAGATCAGTGTAATCTGAGTATATGAAGTATATTAAAGAACTAAGACCATTCTTCGGTTCAGGAGGAGGTGAGGGTTCTTGTCAAGAGTATGGACCCAATGATTTGTTGATTCAGCAATTGGTTTTGAAATTCTACGCCTATCTTTAGTCGTGTCGGTATTGTAAGAGTTAGAGTAAGAGCTAAGAACATCATGAGCAGCATTGTGAGCATCAGAGTCATAGAATTTCGACTAAATTGATCAGAAAATGTTATTATTGTCCTATGAAAAAAATTGTGCGAGGGGTAAATTCAGCTAAGGTATGCAGTCGTGTTTTGGTGCTGCGTGTAGATGTTTATGTGGTGAGCGTATGTTAGAAACAGGCCTAGCATAGAATTCCGGATGTTGGAATTGGACTTTAAGGCTTATTTGCTTGAATAAAAGGAAATATCTTCAAAATTAATCGAGCTAATATGCTCAACTGAGTTATGGTAGCACGGGAAGGTTCATGAGGTGTTAAACAGTGATTTCAGACTACTTCAGTGTAGTTCTCAGCACGTTCGAGGACGAACGTATGTTTAAGTGGGAGAGACTGTAACGACCCGACCGGTCGTTTTGGGCCCTAGCGCGTCGTTCAGCAGTCAGAGGCCATGAGCAACTTCATTTCAGGTATTATGACTTGTACGTGTGGTCGGAATTGAATTTCGGGAAGTTCATAGTTGATTTGGAAAGAGAATTCTCATTTCGGAAGCTTAAAGATGAAGGAATTAACCAAGATTTGAATTTTTGAGTAAACGACCTCGGAATCGAGATCTAAAGGTCCCAGCAGGTTCGTATGATGATTTCGGACTTAGCGCATGCCCGGTTCGGGTTTTGGATAACTCGGGAGCGTTTTGGAGCATATTGTGGAAGTTAGCATTTTAGAAGAAATTTCATAAGTTTGGCTTGAAGTGCATTTCAGTGTTATCGATGTCCGTTTGGGATTTCGAGTCTGTGAATAGCTCCATATGGTGATTCTGGAGTTGGGAGCGCATTCGGAAGTGAATTCGGAGGTCCGTAGGTCATTTTGGAGTTATTTGGCTAAAGATAGAAATTTGAAGGCTTTTGAGAAGTTTGACCGGAAGTGGACTTTTTGATATCGGGGTCGGAATCCGATTCCGGAAGTTAGAGTAGGTCCGTAATGTCGAATATGACTTGCGTGCAGAATTTGAGGTCAATCGGACGTGATTTGATAGGTTTAAACATCGAAAGTAGAAGTTTGAAATTTCAAAGTTCATTAAGCTTAGATTGGAGTGCGATTCATGGTTCTAGCGTTGTTTGAGGTGATTTGAGGCTTTGATCAAGTCCGTGTTATGTTTTTAGACTTGTATGAGTGTTTGGTTTGGAGCCCCGGGGGACTCGGGTGAGATTCGGGATAGCTTCGGAGTGATTTGCTAAGAATAGGAATTGCTGGTGCTGGTATGATCGCAATTGCGATGTATTGGTCGCAATTGCGACCTCGCATTTGCGAGGTTCCGTTCGCATATGCGAACCTGGGCTGCTGTGTGGAGGATCGCATTTGCGAGTGTGGGGCTCGCATTTGTGAACCTGGGCTGCTGAGTGGGGGATCGCATTTGCGAGGGGGGCCATCGCATTTGCGATGCTGTCCTCTTCACATTTGCAAGGAATCTCTCGCAAATGCGACCAAGTCAGGAGAGCTGGGCTTCGCATTGGCGGAGCGTTTCTCGCAAATGCGACTTCGCAATTGCGAGCCTGGAGTCGCAAATGCGACTTCTGCGTCTGGTGCAGTGGCTTTTATTCCGAGACTTAGCCCATTTCCCTCATTTCCCAATTGGCCTTAGGCGATTTTTGAGAGCATTTGAGGAGGGATTCCATCACCATCAAAGAGGTAAGTAATTTCTACACATCTTAAGTTAAATACATAGATTAGGGGTAGATTAACATGTGAAAATTTGGGGAAATCAAGGGTTTTAGATGAAAAACCTAGAATTTGGTAAAAACAAGATATAACCACGAAATTTGTTAGGGGAGATAGTAAAAATCATATATTCTTGATCCTTAGGTTATGGGTAACGACTTTCTCCCGGAATCCGGGCACGTGGGGCCGGGGGTGAATTTTAGGAACCTTGCATTTAGGGTTGGGAAATTGGTTTAATAATTAGAATTTGAACTTTTGAGCATGTATTGACTAGTTCTTACCCTATTTGAATAGTTTTGGATCGCTCGGCTCCGAATTGGAGGTTTGAGAGCGTTCTTGAATCGGAATATAGGCTTCAGGGCGAGGTGAGTCTCCTTTCTAACCTTGTAAGAGGGAATTGTCCCCATAGGTGAGTTAATTGGTTATGTGCTCCTATTTGTGGGGGCTACGTACGCACGAGGTGACGAGAGTCCGTGCGTAGCTACTATTATGTTATTGTCCGGGTAGTCTAGGACCCAAAAGCATGTTGTACTTGGAATAATTGTAATGTTGGTTACGGTTGAATTGCTTAAATCTTGTCGAATTGGTAAATGAATTTCTAAAAGGATTAAACTTCATTTTCTTAAATCGTTAAAAGAGAATTGGCTTTTATTTGGATAAATGTTCCTCGATAAATTCTTAATCTGCTATTTGAGCATGTATTTCTATGTGTGCCTGCGTCGCATGTAAGGTTCGCGAGCAGGATGATTGCTTATTTAAATTTGACTGCGTCGCATGTATGGTTCGCGAACGGGGTAATAGATGCATCTATGGTTCGTGCCGTTCGACCCTCGGCGGTGCACAGTTTAAATATTGTTGGATCGGACTGTACGTCCTCGGCATGAGTTGCGCATGCTTGTATTGCTTGCTGTAAAAGTTGTTGATACTAATACCTACTTTCCTCGACTTGAGATAATTGTCAATAAATGGATTATGAATCCGGAGATTTTAATGAAAAAGGACTTTCACCTGTTTAGTGACTCATTTGAATTTTACTGTTGTTCTTAATGGATCTATGAGTCATCGCATTAATAATATTATTACTGGACCTTTAGTAAGTGTCGGAGTTGCCATCTCGTCTCTACTTCTTCGAGATTAGGCGGGATACTTACTGAGTACACGTTGTTTATGTACTCATACTATACTTCTGTGCATTTTTGTTCACAGGAACTTGTACTACTAGTGGCCTGCTGGGCGTAGCAGCATGGATGATACTGGGACTAGGTGAGTTGCATTACTCGAGGCGGCCGGCAGCTAGTATAGTCACTTCCAGTATATTGTATTTACTTTCTGTCCATTTGTACTCCGGATAGATGTGGCATTGTATTGTCTCTTAGAAATAGCTCATGCACTTGTGACACCGGGTTCTGGGGATGTCTATGGGTTTATTCAGAAATGTAAAATTATTAATTATTTCATCATTTATTCAGTGGAATTCATCACGTATTGTTTAAACGCCTAAAAGAAGTGATTTCAGAAAATATTTAAACGAGAAGTTACTAGTTATTTGTTGTAGGCTTGCCTGACAATGGAGTCCGGCGCCATCACGATCCTTAGTGGATTTGGGTCGTGACAGAAGAATTCTATCCATGGTTTCGGATGAAGGTGCCCAAATCGTACATTAAGCGCAATTTTCCGGTAATTTTATTTTTCTTAAATTTTCATGATTTGATAACTGTTGATTATCCCAACTAGCAATGAACCCTGAACTCTATCTTTACATTGTGTTCTTGCAGTTTATTCCAAAGAGTATATGTGGCTATCTTCCTCCTATTTCGGTTAAAACAATGCTTCGATGTAATGGAAGGAGTGGGTTTGACTCTCACAAGTGGTGGTCGGAGAAGACTCGTCAATGGGTGGAAATAATTTGTTGTCGACAATAATCTGAAGAAAGGGAATGTCCTTCTCTTTGAACTAGTTGAGGCTTCAGGGGCTGTGATCTTCTCTGTTGAAGAACTAGGATTAACTAATACTTAGCTTGATAATTTCTTCTCTTTAGTTATATGTAATGACTTCAAATGGATCATAGTAATGGATTAATATGATTGTTCTTTATAATATTGCTTGTAATTTTTTTCCATTTATTATTGTTNCAAACTTCATTTGGCATTTGAAATTTGTATTTACAGGGGGTTTTGACACTGCACATACTGCTGCTAGGTGCTGTATAATTTTGAATGAGTTTTACCTCTCCACTGGTTGATATTTGTACTTCTCTGAAAGAAAAAGCTAGGATAGTTGTAGTAGTAAATTTTCGTATACCAATTTCAGGGCATATGACCGTGCTGCAATTAAATTCCGAGGACTTGATGCAGATATCAACTTTAACATCAGTGATTACGGAGATGATCTGAAGCAGGTTGGTTGAAGTAGCTAATCACCATCATTACTTATGGTTGAAGTCCTTTTTCAATTAGGACTATGGCTGCTGTTTAACATAATTTCTGTGACGGGCATGTAGATGAATAACTTTAGCAATGAAGAGTTTGTGCACATACTTCGTTGTCAGAGCAATGGCTTCTCTAGAGGAAGTTCAAAATACAGGGGAGTCACTCTGCATAAATGTGGGCAATGGGAAGCACGGATGGGGCAGCTTCTTGGAAAGAAGTGAGTGACCACTTGTTCCGATGTGGCTTAGAAATGTCACGCTACTATTAATACGGCTGTTTCAAGTTTCCCCAATCACATGATAGTACTGATCTTTATAAGCTAGAGGGAATATTGTTAACCAGTTCCTGTACGTTATGTGCTCGCAGGTATATCTATCTTGGACTATTTGACTGTGAGATAGAAGCTGCAAGGTCCAATGACATAACCTGATTCTTCATTCCCTTTCATGCTGTGGTTTAACCTCTTGACATTGACTGAACTTGGTCTTTGGCGCTTGATCAGGGCATATGATAAGGCTGCTATAAAAAGCAGCGGGAAGGAGGCAGTCACCAATTTTGAGCTAAGCACATACGAAGGTGTATTAACTTCTGAGGCTCATATCAGAGGTACTATCAAGACTTGCACACTTTTCCAGACACCACCTTTATGCTTGTCGCTTTTATTCTGTAGCTCTGCTTAGTTGGTTGAAAACTACTAATCTTTACATTGATGCAGGAACAACTCGTAATCTTGATCTGAATTTGGGCATATCTCCCTCTTCCTATGCTGACAATCAACATGGAAATACTAGCCAAATTGGAAACTTCCAGGGCCAGCATGGCTCAAATGGTTTACCTGAACATCGTAGACAAGACCAAAATACTAATGGTGGGAGTCCTACAGTGCCACTCTTCTCTACCGCAGCATCATCAGGATTCGAAAATTCAGCAATCACTGCACCCTCAGCTGCCATTCATCAACTGCACTTTGGAAGTGGAGCTTTACCTTACCACCACTAACAATCCCTGACCAGCATGAATCTTTCACATAATTATTGCACGAGCTGAAATTAGCTGGCCGGTAAATGCAGAACAAGTAAACAACCACCCAATATCTTTTCTTCCTTTGCTGAAGATGATACCAGTAAGGCAACACGTTGGTCTACAACTAATTGAGTTTAGTTTTGTTAGTTAGGATATGAGGTACTGAGTTTCTAAACAAGGCTATGAATCTTATAACATGAACTATGTGATTGCAAGCTGCTTATTGGGCAATTTTCTTCTACACTGCGTATTACCGGTGCCTTGACAATTGGGATTGTTAAGATGAGAATGTTTCTATATGGTTTTCATTTTCAAATGATTTCTTTCTTTTAATGGCTTCACATTCTGTTATTAAACCTTCTAAAGGAGGCTTCCTTGCTCAAAGTTGGTTCTTGAAATTAGCAAGAACGGACTGACAAATTTTGGTCTCTTTTCATTGCTGAAGCGTACTGGGTCTACAGGAAAGATCACAGTGCAAAAGTCGAGACATAACAAAAGAAGTAAACTTAGAAGTGTTGTTGGTGAAAGTTTGTCCTGTTGCTTTAAAGGGTAGTGGAAGTACTATCATCTGAATCCTCAGCTTTTGATTTTAGAATAAAAAGTAACATGATTTTTTCCCTTATTTGTAAGTGTTAGCAAGTAGGGACGTAGTGTGGGCAGAAAATGGCAAGCTAGCTACCCTTTCTCCTCAATTATTAGAAAGTGACTCTATGCCGTTTTTTCCTGGACTGTATGTCAATTACCTCGACGCCTTTACATCAAATAATTCAAGAACTATTTTTCCGCTTATAAAAACTGACTTGCTCAAAGTCTGCGCCCGAAAATTATACTGCATATGCAGATAATATCTGTATTAAAATTTTTGATTTCAGCACTGGTCACATCGATTGTTATGATCCTTGATTGCCAGTTGGTTCTTTCCTTTCCTTCTGCATCAAAGTCTAGAGAAGAAGTCCCCACCCTTTTGATACTTTGATTAGAGGCAGAGTTAAAGGCTGTTTATGGTAAAAATCTTGATGGTCTTATCAATAATTTAGTGTATTAATCACCTATCAACCAAACATTCAACTACAAATGTAATATGTATGCACGTATGACAAAACAACTAGAATGTGTTAAGTAAATAAATATATATATAAATATGTTTTGCTTAAAGAAAATTACTCCAAATAGGATTAATAAATACAAAACGCATTTAAGATAGAAGTCTGTCAAAAGACTGCCATGACACTGTTTCCTTAAACACTAATACTAGGCTAGGGAGGCAAAAAGTACAAATTGTCAGCTCATGTATTAGGGGTGTTTATGGTTCCGTTTGGGTCGGTTTTTTCCTAAAGAGAAACCAAACCAAGTAAGCCGTTTTTTAAATATTGGAACCAAACCAAACCAATTAAGTCGTTTTTTTATCGATTCGGTTTTTGTCGGTTTTTCTGTTTTTCGGTTATTTATCGTTTTTTTTAAAACATGAGACATACACTGCCAAACACATATTCCGACGATTACATTTTCAACGTAACACTATCAAATCAATTACTCTCTGAGAAATCTATCATTTATCAATATATATTGATGATAACTTGTCACGACCCCAGTTCGCCCTCCGTGAACTATCGTGACGGCACCTAGTCTCTACGACTAGGTAAGCCTAACAAATTGCGAAAAACGAAACAACAGAATAATTCAAATAAAACTTGCGGAATAATCATAATGAAGGTTTAAAGATGTCGCTAGGCATATACAATACAACTCTCAAACTGGAACTACATTTCCCAAAACCCGAAATCTCATGAAATCACAAGCTGTGGAATAACTACAGTGTTCTAACTCCAGAGTGTCTAAACAAAAGTAAATACAGAAGGGCGAATACTATGAGAGAGAATGGAAAGGGGACTCCTCGGTCTGCGGACGCGATAGACATACCTCGAAGTCTCTGATGGGTCACCCCGCTCAAGGATAGTAGGGCTGAGTCGAAGTACCTGGATCCGCACATGAAAAACATGCGCATTAAGGGCATGAGTACACCACAGCGGTACTTAGTAAGTGCCAAGCCTAACCTCGGTCGGGTAGTGGACGAGGAAGGTCAGGGCCCTAAATTTCCACGTCTGGATAGGCATTGAGATCAAACAAGCTTGATTGCGATTGTGTAAGCGTCAATTTGACTGCAATTAAAAATCAAACAAACACTATAAGAAAACATGATATGTTTAAGTATAAATCAAATGTAGTCGCAAAATTGTACCTCATTCACACCTAGGGAACCATCATGCTCAACGTTTGTACCTCTGCCTTGCCCATTACCCCTACCCCTACGTCCACCACTTCTACCGCCACCTCTACCACCACGATTGCCACCAGCCCTGCCACCACCCCTGCCACCCCCTCTAACACCAGTTCTTGCGCCATTACTAGCTCCAAATACACTACGCGGCTGTGAACTTGTAAAGTAGTAGTCAATTCTTCCTCTATATCGATTCAAACGCGGCCTGCCACGTGAATTAGTGTACTGGGGATCTCGTAGAGTTGTGCCATCAACATTGTCATCTGAGTCATCCTGGTCTTGGTTTGGCACGATCATTTCATCGTCCCAGTTTTGAAGATCATGCACCATTTTCTTCAAATTATGCTTAACATATTGAACCTTCACGCTAGTGCCCAGTGCTATATCACAAGCCATGTCAAAATACTTCAACATGCTCTTGTATGTCTTATACTCAGGCGTCATGGTTGGGTAACCAACTTGATGGAACCGATTCAAGTGTGGCCTAATAACATCGCTTCTCCACCTTGTCAGTATTTTATCAATCTTCTTGTGCGACAAGATCTTGAGTATATGGCAACAAAGTATTCCTCAAGACTCGAACCATTTGCAGCTGCAACTAAAATAATCGCCGATAAGTATATATTCAACAGTGTACTCAACTGGATTTCCATTATTTTTTATTATTACTGAATAATCACTAACGATGAATTTCTCAACACCGGGGACAACTTGATGATCGTCGGGGCTGCTGACTTCACAATGATACAATTTCCTTAGTTGTGTCTTGAAAAATTCATACACTGTACGCGTATAACACTGAATGGCCTGCTGCTCCCACTTGAACATTGACTCGCACACAATGTGAAAGCCCTTTGACCTGTATTCCGCTTCCAACTCTTTCTCATGCTTAGCCCTTATAGCTAACTCATACTGGTGAACAAACATCTTTAGAGTGCTTTGACGGGTAATATATCCATCAAAGAACGCATGCATCCCCTCACTTCTTTGCGTAGATAGCATACCACCCCAAAAATACACATCAAGGTACACAGGAACCCATTTTTCCTTCCCAGAGTAAAGCTTGATGAACCAATTCCTTATATGCAAATTATACCTTGCAATATATTCTGTCTATTTTCTCTATAAAACTTCAACATTAATGCTATCAAGGACCATGGATTTAAATTCTGCACGTGCAATTTTAGAAGGTCGAAAACCACTTAAGTAAACAGCAACTTTGAGAATATATGCCAAATACAATAACTATGTATTGTATTTGGCATCACTTCAGCAATGGCTACCTTAATGCTCTGACACTGATCAGTTATGATCGCATCTGGATGAACATTTCCCATGGCATCAAGTTAAGTTCTAAAAACTAATTTGTAACTATCGATATCTTCATGAGACATGAGAGCACATCCTAGTAAGATGGACTGTCTATGGTGATTGATGCCAACAAATGAAGCACATGGCATATTATATCGATTCACAAGGTACGTTGTATCAAAGCATATCGCATCATGGAATTGCTCATACGCTGCCTTAAAGTGTGAATGCACCCATACCACATTTCACAGCCTACCAATATTATCAACGTCGATTGAATAGAAAATCTCTCTATCCTTTAC